TGTGTGTGCATGAGTTTACAGGTCCACAGGTCTACAAATTGCTATTAGGGTATTGTTCCTTTTTTCGGCGGTTTTTTCCCTTGACAGCCCTCCATATTTTGACTGCACTCTGTTTGTATTAAGGTAGAGGGTCAAGTTTTCCGACAGTTTTGGGCGAGTGGTTCGACCAGTGGCTTACTTAAGACAGGCCTCACCAATTCTTCATGCGTCGTCAGCTATTTCCTCGCGGACATGTTGCATTCGTTGGATGGAAGCGCACACTTCAGTCGCTTTACCCTTTATCTCATTATCAGTCATAGGTTACTTGCACCTGGATATGGAAACGGAAAATGAAACCGATGTTGAAATGCCATTTCTTATTGTGATTCGACATTTTCATATATATAGTAGTTTTTACATGCTCAAAAGTCTCATAACGCACTGAGAATGGCGTAGATTCCCGAACGGTGAAGTAGTTCACTCCTCCTTTCAAACAACCGTCAAGCTTCATAGACTTATTAGTGCGACCATTATGCCATTTCTCATTTCTGCAATCCAGACGTGTATATAGTGTGATTTAGATGGCGTCTTTACGTCACCGTCAGCCAGTATGCAAATTTTCATTCTCTATGGCCTTCCGTGACAAACCGCTGGTATATGAAAGAGAAGAGAGTAAGCAACGTCGACCCAGACCCGATACAGTGCTTAAGTACCCTGCTTGTAGCATTCAAACGCGCTAGGACACAGCTATAATTATTTGTCAAGTGCCTGGATATCTCCGCCCGACTAAAGGTCAGGCTGCAATGGTTTCCCATCAATGCGATCCCCAAGGTACCGCCTCATGATAACATTGTGGACTCCCTCGCTTTTCGGAGCCTCGTTCGCGTTCATTTAAAATGCAGATCGTGTAAAGCACGTGTGAATGAGATCTTTTTTACCATTTTTAGCCACGGCACTCACGCTCATCTCCGATCGCATTGACTTTAACCATTATAGTGTGATGTTTGGAGGACTGCTGGCATTGCCGCTGTGCATGTCTGCCCCCTACAAACGATTTAGTAAACAAGTCATCGCAGTGCTTTGCCCAAAATAGTGGGGAACTCTGCCACTTGCCAAGGTTGGACTAACAGATGCGACTGTGACTCAATCCTATGTACTTAGAGCGTGTTTATAGTCATTACCTGAGTGAGGTATTGGAACAGTTCAGAGCAGTTTCAAGGCCGTGAAGCAAACGTTGATTGTCGATTCATTCATTACAAGCATGTTACCAATCCTTCATGTTTCCTCGCTACTTAGAGTAACATAATAAGGATCTGCACATATGTTTGCCACCTTATTCAACGCGCACGCTTGATTTTGGAGTTTTCATTATCACTGGTTTTGTACTTATACTTCGTAGGCTGTAATCGTGCTTGGTCTGGCTGGT